ATTTTGTTAATAAAATAAACGAACAATATATTTTCTGTTTTTAATCATTTAAATTAATTTATTACAAAAAAGATCCATTACGGATTTTACATTCAGAAAAGTACATAAATACCGATGAAAAAGAAGTTTACTAGCGATGTTGTATATTTGTACTTTAAGTAATAAGTCATGTAATAAGTTTTGTCAGTTATTGAACAATAAATACGAGAATATTAAATTTTATTTGTTGAAGATAATTTTGATAGATATCTACAAATTATTATGCTACCAAAATGGTAATAGATTTACTGTGTGCAATAGTAGAATGCACTTGTCAGCAAAGAATTATTTTTATTCAGCAACAAATTTATCTTCTTAAGTAAAAATTAAGAATTTAAAAATGAATCATGAATGTTAATCTCATATACTAAATTTATTTATCAAGTAAGTCGTTAATTGTAAATTTGAAAATTTGATCGTAACTGCGCGAAGAGTTTATACATGTAGAATGGATGCATACAAAAGTGAGTGGGTAACGCGTTCTCATTATTTCGTTGCGAAACTTTCAGAGGCTTTCTGCAATAAGCAATTAGTAATAAATCAAAAATTAAAAGCTAGAAATTAACCATTCATACTCGATTATTCTTCTCATATATTCAACCGTGATTGATCAGTTCCTATTTGACTTCCAATTTATTACTAATTAGTGACGGATTAACGCATAAGCAAACAAGGCACTTGCTTAGAGCGGTAAATTTGAGGGGGTAAATTTTTCAAAACACAGATAATTTTCACACAATTGAGATAAATTTTTAATTTGTTTAATCTCACGTTTTTTTGCACGAGTTACGCCGAGCATATTTTATCAGAAACGATATTTTAAATATACAGTTAAAAATGTATTATATTTATATCACTTATTAAGGATTATTGAATATTTTTACCAGCTAATGCGGGGATGTAGATGATTTTTTAAATTTTCTTTTTCATCAAATTTATAAATTAATGAAGGGGGCGGCTAGATTTTGGTGCTTAGGGGCGGCAAAATGCTTAATCCGTCACTGCTACTAATGGCTTATTGTAAAAAGCCTCTAAGATTTTGAGAGTGACTTTAGATTGCCATTCGCAAAAGAAACGCGTCGCACACTTCCAAATAATTTCTTGCGCAAATCGCTCGTACATATACTGTAGTACCATAGGTATTGGATTCTTTAGAAATCAGCATATCCTCCGCGCGCGAGAGAATTATATTTTATTAAATATAGAAGCTTAAAATAAATACCTTAACAGCCAATAATAATATCTTACAATACTCGAGTTGTAACGCTACTCGTTATCTATCTGTATGTTATTCAATACGCATTCGAATCACAGGAAAGTAAAACAAAAATTTCATCCGAATGAAGAAGTGCGCATCGCATGTGTGGACGAGAATTCGACGTTATCGTCCTGCGTACGAGAGCGTGTACGATTTATCTTCACTATAGTTATTCCGCTTAAATCGCTAAATTCTATGTAATATGTACGGTGAATATACACGAGATTGTAAATTCTAGTTGTCAAAAGCACGATCGCGCTCTACAGATTTATGTTACGGATTATTCTTATGTCTAATATCGGCGTGATGATGGCCGGGCTCGATTAGAAGGAGCATAGAAAATTGTTTACAATAGACAGAATGCTACGAACTTCAGATATACGGTCCCACTTTTTACACGTTTATACTATCTAGCGTCGGCAGGCTGGGCGTCTACGTGTAAAATGTCAATTTTCAATAAACTACGCGTAGAATATCCGAATTATTTCTAACACGTTTTTTTTTTCTTCTGATTATATTATAGCCTAAGCTAAGAAACGACGTCATTATTTTATTCTTCGCCCATTTAATCACGGATTTTATTAACCGGGAGCTTGCCAAAATAGTGCAGTTTCAAACGTGTGTCAAGTTTTTTTTATTTTATACATTAGTAGGTTACCGACAACTGTCGCAAAATCATAGCATAGATATTTTACACGTAGAAGAATATGTATGTAGATATCCAGCGCTGATTGGCGGAACTCGAGAGGAAAAAACCTGTGAGAACATTTCATCAAAAAGGAGAGGAGTACAACGAAGATGATGTATCTCCTAAATTCATTTTTGCCCTAGCGTATACTAGTATATATGTAGGCACATGATCCACGAAAACGCGCGCGTTTAGAAAAGATTCGCCGATCGTTCAGATCCATTCGCGATCGTTTAGAACTCTAAACGAGAAGTTTGCAGAAGTTAGCGGTGCTGCTTTATATATTTTATTTATATCGTTAAGCGCAATGTGTGTGTATATGTGTGTGTCGACTGCATTAGACTAATCCGTTGGACGTCGGCGATAAGAGAATATATCGACCTGTCGGTTTAAACTAGAGCGGAGGTATCTGAAGATTTTTTTTACTGAAATTTTATAAAGTTTTTTACTGAAGTTTTTAGGCAGAAGGAGAGAAGCGATCCCTCGGACACGATTTTCTAACTTTCCACTAGAGTAGATTGCGTGTTATCACATTTTAAGCCGCGAGAGAGTAATGAACTTCTCGTTCGATCATATAACTCTCTACGTTATTACTAGTTCAATGCTGATATTCGCGTCAATTAAATTTATTGTAAGAAAAGAGAGCTTATTTATACGCGATAAGTCTAGTTTGTCGCCTCAAACAATTTCTATATACGTATATCTCTACTAAATCCGATTGTGTGTGTACACGATTTGCGTATTTTTTTTTTTTTATTATATATAATGTAAATACATGCGTTTAATGATAAAAATTATATTACATACTTTTTTTGGCCGATTCACTACTTGCATTTTGAGATCCTTTAGAGTATATTTACGATGTAATATTTATAGATATCTATATATATTTGTTTTTACACAATTATATATTCCTTTTCAATTTATTTTTTAATAATAAATTATCACAATTCCCGAAGAAGAAAGGATACAATTAACGTCTTTGGTCAATAATAATTCAATCATATTTAAATAAATCATAAAACTAAAGGCTTTTAAAAAGGCAAAAGCTTTAATTATAACTTTCATAAAATAAAAAATTAATAATCCTTCCTCTAAGTTTAAAATAAAAAATAAAATACTTAATTAACATATTTGAGCATCGTCAACAAAAATATATTTTATACAAAGTAATTAGAGAATTATTGCTGTTACAACTGGAAAGAGAGACATTCTGCACGCGCGCGCGCGCGCGCGCATACAAAAATAAATCAGAAAAATACAATAGAATTTTGTAAAAAAAAAAATTTGTCTACATTTTCTATTTATACATACATTATCGGTTTCCCAGTTATATGAGCAACAACGAACCAGCACAATAACATATTGCCGGAATAATAATTTTATATAATAAAATAATGATGTGCTTAGAGCGCGAGGTCATTGAATATCACCGATCTCTCTACATACCTATAAACGGAATTCATCAACTTATTTTACTTCGTTGACTAAATTTATTATACATTAAGAATGTCTTTCAGTAAGTCACAAAAGGAAATTTGATTTTCATATAGCGCCACATTAATGACGTTTATTGATTGTCTCTACTTCTATAATAATCATCTCTATCTACTCATGATTGTATAGTATCTCTAAATTTCGTTTATCGTGCATGTGCTTTTTTTTTTCTTGATACTCGCCAGATCTCTTTAAACTCGCGCTGTGCAAAGAATTCCCCATTATCTATATAAGCCATCTTAAAAAGATGGACTCGTGACGAAGAATGAAAACGAAAATTGAGAAGCTGACAACTCTACGAGATTCGAAGATGACAAAATTAAAACTACTCGACATACTCATAACGATTGTCAGATAAATGAAAAATTCTTCGTCGCGCTGCACCATCACGTACCTCGAGAGTTATACATTGCATTGCCGTGATCTATATAATTTATCATTTATGATCTATACGTTATTGTAATTTTATTACTCGATCGTGTTAAAGGAGTAAGTTAAGTGAGAGGCACCGTAGAGTGTGCTCGTACGCACGTATAGGCTAAAGCGTGTTTTACAGAGTATTTTGCTTACGTTCTTCCAGTGCACTTTCTTCATATATTTCGATGAAATACACACTTATAATAAACTGATAGTCAAGCCATTCATCGCGATTCAGTTCATAAAAAATGATCGGGTTACATAGAACGCCATGTAAAATTGTCAAAAGTGTGCTCATTATTTAATGTTAATGTATTATCAAAATCGGAGGGTTTCTTGAGTATTCATTATGCTTGTCGAAAACTAGAAGTCGGCAACACGCGTGATTTGGTCGAGAAAAGAGAAAGTTTAAAAATATTGTTTATTTTTTAAGAGATACCTGTCCCAGAGGATATAATCATTAAATTTCATTTTCTCAAACTACTGACTCTTGACTACCATTTTATCATAATCGATAGAAGTTGTGCTTGATTCAAGAACAATTGAGCATTTGACGTACGAATAAACAATAAATTATTGTGTACAATTCTTATATACACATATATGTATATTCAACATGAAAAAATACGGAAAAAATTGGTACGGTACAAAAAAATATTATAAAAATAAGTGTAGAGACCTGCAGTTGTAACTTTGTTCATGCGCGTAAAACGAAGTAGACACACAATACATGTAATATCGAGTGTGTGCTCGATCGGCGATGTATATATACAGTCCGCTGATGCAACGAATTGATCGGCTTGAATCAAGCACTACATCCATTGCAGCAGTAAAGTGTGGTGTTTTGGTTCACGAGAAAGTCTTGTAAAATGTGTATAATTTTGGACCCTACACCTATATATATATATATATATATATATATATATTTATATATGTATGTATAATGTATATATATAATGTATATGTATACATATAATATGTCTCTCTGTGTGATTAAAAATAGAATCTTAGAAGCTGCTTAATTTAAGAAATTGCTAAATCTATCCTCATTGTATATATATATATATACACATACACACACAATAATATGTATATAAGAGATGATAGATATACAAAGTGCGATAGATCCGCCTGGTAAAGAATTTTCCACCCACGAAAGACTGGCCGATAATCGATCGACCCAAAACTGCGAATCGCGAGGCGACACGAATCCGCCTATCTGAACTTATTAATGTTGTATTGCTCGTCTCATTTAGATCTAATTTTGGCAGTCGGGAAATTATAAGAACTGTGACTATCCTTCAATGTATGGTTCAATCGTCATTCGTACTTTCTCGAATCGTTCGATTAATCTAATTTAATGAAAAGTTGTTAGATTGCTCGTCTCTAATGCCTGTTTCCGACATTATAAATTAACTTCAATCTCGATTCAACTTACTCTACATTTTTTCTAGTTTTAAAAATTAGAAAAAGATGGAAATTAAACTGTACCAAGATTAAAGTCAATCTACATTAGAGGAAACGGCTATGAGAGTTCCGTGCCGCGTCGCAATCCGCGGCTTTGATCCTAAATAAGAAAGTTTTGTAACGTTGCAAGTCGCGCGCGGGATTCAAGATCGTAATGCACATCTCCGTCTTAAAATATTTCCTAAGTAACGTACGTACAAAATATAAATTGTATTTGTATATAAGAGTGACACGTCTCCACACGATATATACACTTTCTTTTCACTCATCCGTTCTCGTGGCGTAAGCCTTAATAATTCGTTAAAATATTTTTCGCAGAACTCACGCGTGTATCGAAGACTAATATTACAGATATATATTGCATATCGCGAATTCTCTAGTACGGAGCATCTAAATTCTACGTAGACGTATTGCTCTTCAGGAACAAGCGCTGTAGGCAAGTGCGATCGGGAAATGTTATAAAAAAAGAAAAGAAGATGGAAAATTCGTACATGCGTATTTGAAGCGGGCTTATCTCGAAATATCTATATTTGTGCTAGGCCAAAGAATTAAATCGAGATATGAATCGAGAGAGCTCGCGCTCGCGGAATCGAAACTGGAAACACTCCGCGAGCCACGGTTCTCTACTTTTGCGGGACTTCCATGCCGGGAATTGAAAACAAAATGGAACCACAATTCAAAATTGTAAACCCTGCAGAACCGTTGGAATCGCTTTGGGACCGAGAAGTGGTTCCACCGCTTGACGGTCAGCCGATCGGCAGAACGATCGACAGTCTACGAGTTTAATTAAAATTTGTTCTAGGAAGTTCAATGTTGTTTATTGTTTCTCCTTATTACTTCTAGTTGGCCCGAGTGATGTTCCCATTGGCTGTTTACCCATTCTTTCGGCGAACTGAAAAGGTGGAACAGAATCGAGATTTTTTTTTTGTTCTTTTTGACAAAATCAATTTTTATACCGTCATTGAATAATATATTTCTTCGCACTCTTTCTTTGATAATCGCACGATTACCACGTGATACTTTCGTTTCCGTTTAGAGAAATATCATCATGCGTACAGCAACCGTAATCTACGGTTTCTATGCCTTAGCTCAGCGCCTGATTCGTTCATCATTAATTCGATTATCCATCCTGTGCGTTTGACTTCGTCGTTTGCGTTTACGTTTGAGGACTCCTCTCAGCCTCAATTCTGATAACGTATTTCTCTGAAGAAGATATCGTTCTCCCCCTAATGACATGATAGCGATGGCAGTGATGACGACGATCATAATTCCATCGAGTTATAAGATCGAGAATAAGCAAAGAATGGACCTCTGTGGCCACGATGGAATTACAAAGATCGCCAGAGTTGCCAATACTAATAGCGATCTCTTCGATGTCACAGTCTTTCGATTGTAGTCTCTCGAGAATCAAATGGAATCGAATAGCGTTCGCTATAATATTTGTACTTTCCAGACATGCTCGGGACAGCATTATCGAGCGCGTGCCATCTCCTTTGTTAAGAGCCTTCGCTGAACATATTTGGCGTCACTTTAGTTATGGTAACGCGAGGCAGGATCCGTGGAATCGCGGGTGATCGTAAAACTGATTGCACGAGTTCGCCGGGGGCTCTCTGTTACACATCATCCTCTATACTCCGCAGAGGTATCTGCTGCTTCTGCGCTACCGCATTTAACACATGCACCAACTGATCCAGTTTTTTGTCCATCACAGATAGCTGCAAGCAGAAAATTTCATACCGATACATTTGAAAGTTCACGTCAAAAGAAAATTTACGCTTCGATTTATGCGAAATGTCTATTAAAAAATAATGAAAAAAATCTTTGATCTCCAGGTATTTTTATTCAGGCAAATCAGAACGTTTTAAAATAAATCATAAGAGAATGAATTTTTTATGTCTTCTCTTCTATCACATAGAGGTGTCATTAGGAAAGAAGGGAGGTTGCAATCCCTCCATCGAAATTTTTGCGTTTTTTCATTTTTTATCACGAAAAAATACAACTTAATTTTTAACTCACAGTAAATTTATTGTTGTCATTATAATATTTTTCTTTTTAATACAAATATTTTTCTCCCTATTATAACTATATAAATAATTTTTGGAACTTCCGTTAGTTGTAATAGAACCTCCGATATATGTATAAAGAAAATTATCGCAAGGTTTTTAAATAAAAAGAAGAGAATATGCGCTAAAATATTAATGAGTACTCCATTTACAATTACATATTTCATTTTTAATAACTATATTTTGCCTATAATTTCTTCAAGAAAAAAAAGTAAAAGTTATAATTTACAAAATCTATCTTCTCATTCAAAAGAAGAAGAAGACATTCAAAGTTCTAAAGTATTCAAAAACAATTCATTCAGCGCAACAAATTCCTATTTATACATATGATAACAAAGTTGATAAATCTTCATCTTTCCCCCTTCCTCTCCCCACTCAAAAAAATTCTGAATACATCTATTTTCAACACATAATTGTGGGGAAAAATTTAGAATTATTTAATAAATATATAACACAATTTTTATTAATATACTTTCAATAAAATTATATTATTATATATGATATTTTTTTTTAAGTAATTAATTCCATTAGTTTTTCTTGTACGAGAATTAGCATAGCGAACGTTATCCCATTCGTATTTTTCACCATTTGTACATTTTTAGCTTTTAAGTTAGAGAAATCTATGAATTGACAGAATAATTAATAAGGTAAAATACGTATCGTATGCAAATTTTCTATGAGAGAATAAGGACCAATTAAAAATTTTAAAAATGATTTGATAAAAATTATGCAAATATATATTACGTGAATATAATTCTATTGTGACCTCGTGAAAATCAATAAGCTGATTTGCAATTCTAAATCTGTAGTTTAAACATTACACAGTTTAACGAAAAATAATTCATTTCGAAATTCAAGAAAGAGATTTATTATGAATACTTTCTGTACTATTTAACAAAATATAATTTTAATCTTCAAAATTGCATTTCAGTTTTAAAAAGTTTAAAATTGAAGTTGAAAAAGACCATTTTAGTATATTTCATTATGTTACGATTACGACGTGTTAAAAAGATTTTATTTTATTTTAACAAAGTTAAATACAATATATTATTAGAAAATGTTTCAATTCTCGAAATAAGTTGTGAAGATAAAGATTAATAAATTAGCAAAAAAAAGTGACAATTAAACTATTGAGAAATATAGATACGAACATTTTCCTATCATTTATTCAAACTTAAGAAGAATTTTCAAGTCGCTGAATACAAATTTAATGTAAACTCAACAATTTCAATATGATAAAATTGATACCAAGAATATACAATTTTTTTTTTAAATTCAGTTATTCAATACAGGTACAAAATTAGAGATTAACGATATCACATAATGGAATCAAATATTCAATAAATTATCCATGGTCATGAAATGGCTTAATTCAAAATCTTTGTGTGATAAACTCAATATTGATCGCGAAAATGTTATTAATTCCAATCTTCACAATGGATTTCTTTCGAAGATTGAAAGTTTTAATAATATACTTAATTTCGAAAGGAATAAATCCTTTCTGGTATGTCGCTTGCCTTTAGTAAAAAATTATGTTAAGAAAAGGTTTTATTTCTTTCTTACAGTTTTGATTACAAACTTCTTAAAACTTGCAATGTTTCAACGATTAAATTTATATTAAACATTAAAAGAACTGTAAATTGTAATTCCTTTTTTCTTTGAAACTTTTTTTTAACTGTATTATTTGCTTGTTTTTATGTTCATAGAGCCGTGAAAAGCTCATAATAAACTCGTAAATGTAATTTTTGGAAAATATGGATTTGAAAGTAGGTTATTCAATTATACATTCTCTCTCCGCAAATATGAAGATAGATTCACACACGGGTTAAACTATGCGTTGAGGAAGTAGGACAGTTAAATATTCATAAAAGAAACATTACGGTAATTAAAGCGAAAGACGCACCTGCTGCTCCACTCGATATAAACGCGCACCAATCGTCATGGGTTTTACGTTGCCTGCCCGGTCGATTCCCGCCAGGTAGCTCCCCGGTTTACCCAGGGTCTGATCCAATCTCCTCTGCAACTCCTGCGGACAAATCGAACGTGCAATCAACCGCCCGTAATTTTACTCCCAGGCTACGCCGAAAAATGCGGTGATCGAGCGGCGTAGACGTGAAAAAAAAAAAATCATTATTCGCTATTAATATTTCATATTGTTAATTAATATTGCTTTACACCTTCGTCCTTTAGCCTCTTGTTTCCTGTTCACGGAAAAAAAAAACAGCTGAAAACTTCATTGATTCAGCAAATCTACGACAGTCGTAATATACAGACAGTCAATTTTCGATGGTAAAGTAGCAAAGTTGATGGCTGAATAACATTAGCGATTTATTAAACCATCAAATCTTCTTAACTATAAATGTGGAATTCGAGCAGTAAGTTATAGGTTTGCTGTATTACCCAATTAATTTTTTTTCTGTGTTTCTGTGATTTAATGCAATTTTGTGATTAAGAGCGAGTTCGTGAATTACCGCAATTCTTGCAACATGAAACAGACATTGCGATATAGACGCAGCAAAGTGAGACGCAAAAGGCGGCATTTCAAGATCGAAATTAACACGGTGCTGTAATTAAATAATGCGCAAACGAGCATCGGTTGCAATTAAATCAGCAGTTAAAAATTCCGTTAGCAGGACTCGCTGCGAAACACCGGAGGATATTATCGATCTCCTCGATATACATATAATGGAACTTTATATTCGCTCGTCGCAAAGTACTGAAGTTTCTTCGGCAAACAAAAGACCGTATGCTCACAGAAATTGAGTCTACCGTGATTGACGTTTTGTTTTTGCAGGCATTTTAAAGTCGTCATTTTTTCCCTGCGGCAATTGTTGAACGATATTTGAAAACAATTTTGCAAATAAATTAACATCATTTAATGTAATTTAATATTAATTAATGAATATGTCACATTAAATAAACACATTAAATAAAATTGTCAATATATGATATACCGAATTGTTTAAAATCACAAATTTTTCTTTGAAGTTTTATGTTAAATCGTTACGCACATACGAAAAACGACAAAAAGATATCAGCGGAAATTAATTTCAAATGAGCACCATGAAAGCACAACGAAATACCAGCAAAAATGATTTATTATAATTTAAGTTTATTTTATTTTATTTTTAGAAAGATAAGGTTTGCACTGCACCTCTTGATGTACAAATGTATAACAGATTATAGCATATATACATATATATGCTA